ACCGCTATGTTTGTTTTATAGTGTGAGTCATGCGTTATACTGATATTTCTAACGGGTTAAAAGTCATGTAAGTGCTTGTAATTTTTCCAGGAACAAAGTGGCTCCCTGAACAAGAACATACCACCTATTGGTAAGGCCTTAGCAGCTGTGTACATTACACTGTGATATGTTTGTTTCTGATGCAACTTTATTTGACATCTCTGTGTCTACAATGTCTAAGGTTGCAAAAGTAGGATATTTTATTTAACAAACGTTATTATTTATCAGAAATTCATTTATAGCATGTTAATGCACATAAAATCCTGATCATCACAGTATTTCATAAGGTGTTAAGAGTATAAAAACAACAAGGTGGAAATGTACACTTTTGGCTTAACCTGGGAATTATATGTTAATGCATTTGTTTATGATTCTTCTGTCCCCTAATTGCAGGTAGTAGTGGTATAGACCACAAACCTCATGGAGCAGACGTCTCAGGCTTCCTCCATGAATATCCAGTCTGTGTGTCACAGGACAGATGGACAGTGAGAGGAGAAGAGGTGATAAAACAGACACTAGGGCTGTGCGATATGACCAAAATCTCATATCCCGATATAAGAATTCTATCGTCCCGATAACGATATAAATCACAAAAATATAAAATTTTTGTAAATTCTGTGAATCTCGGGCAGCTCGACTTGCGGGAAGTGTTTCCAGCTGCGCGTCATGTAGCTGGGGTCGAGTGTTTTAACCGATGCATGAAACTATACATTTTTAGACATAAGTTGTAACAGCCGCCGTTTTCTTTGTGAGTATTTAGACTTAGAGACTTAGAGCTTTTTATTGTCATTGTGCAGTTTCTTGCACAGTGAAATTGGGTAGCTGAACCACAAAGGTGCTAAAGTAAGAAGAAGAGAAACCAATATACAACGTGCTGCGGGGAACAGCCTGTTCTAACGTTTGAGTCTAAGGTTTATTTTTTAGCACCTGCCGGCTCTTTTTTTACTTCTCATTCGTAAATATTTTGAAAAGTCTCAACAGGATCTTGAGCTTTATTGTGAAAGGTTTATGTGGAACATAAACAAGCGGACACGCGATGGTTTTACCGTCGTTGTTGCTAACGACAACGCATAAAAACAGGCGCTTGTCCGTCCTTAGTGTGGTTATATAAAATATAAGAGAAAGAGAGAACTTTAAGAAATTAATATAGCCACTACAGTGACCATTAAAACGATGAAAAAATATTGCCGTAAAGAGTTTATTTTTGCGACACCACGAAACAAACGATAGCGTAAAATGAAACGATAGACGTTTTTATATCGTTATCCGATATATATCGTTATATCGAACAGCCCTAACAGACACATCCAAATATTTTTCTTTTTACCCACCATGGTTAAATTTTTTTTTTTCAAATCTTTATCTATCAAAACAAAAAACAGGACTTTATCCTTTTACTTCTAACCTTGTGGCTACTTCTTTCTTTGTAGCGTATCCAAGAAAACTTGTTGCATCCATGTTTTAATGCAGAGGGAAACATTAGTCTGGTAATGTTTTGTAATTTATGATTTATAGCCAAGTACTCTATATCTCCCAATCTCACATTTAATCATTACGTTTTGTATTCCTTTCGTTTTCTTTCAGAGGAGTCCAGGTCCCATGATGGAGTACTTGGTGTATCTTAATAGCCAGCATTATGGGGCAGATTGTCCCAGTAACGGACCTGCCAGCCCCTCTGTCTCTCCAGTAGGCAACTGGCCTCGTCACTCTACACCCATTCCTAGTTCACTGACAGCTATTTCTACTACTGTTAGCTCCACGATGACTAGCTTCATGACTGATTCATGTAGTCCCATTGGTTTTATATGTGGTGTCACTACTTCAGCCACAGACCCTCTAATGTCCACCCCCAAGAGTCTCTGCTGCTCTGACCAGGATCCTGCCAGTGCTGCAGCTTACCTTCACCTCCTGGGAGAATCGTTATCCCTGATTGGACACCATCTCCAGGAGACAGATGTGAGTAGATTCAATTAAAAAAAATCTTTTTATAAGACACTTAATGTCGTTTGTTCATCTCTCACATGTATTCTTCATCTTGCTTGTATAAATTCAGAAATAAGGGGTAATAGTGGTCCCAGAACCAGAACTACTTTATATCTTTGCTAATCAGAAGTAAACATAGAAGAGATTTTGATCTTAAACAGATACTGTGAAGGCCTCGATAGTTGGAGTGTATCCCAAGATAGTTGGTGGGAGTTGAAACATTATACAGTCCTACAACGTGGTGCTTTCTTTATCTTTTTCTGTCTATATTCCAAACTGGTTCACAGAGGCCTGTTTTCACAAAGCGAGTTTAACATAGCCAAGCTATCTTTCCCTTATCTAGATTAACTTGTTTTAACATTGGCAATCAGGATAAACGGTCACATGAGGCTGGTTATCAACTTGTTACGCTAACCTAGGGTGAAAAATGTTGGCAGTCTCTAACCAGTCACTATTATAGATAAGTGTACTGTCAGCAGAGTGACTCATTTTACAAAGGAAGATGAAACAATAGTGTGCGAAAAAATATCAAGAGGTTAAACTGACTGAAAAGCAATAAAGCTGCTACAGACGAAGCTGTGTGTGTGTGTGTGTGTGTGTGTGTGTGTGGGGGTGGTCATGTAGTATTAAAAGTTTGCTCATTACACGGTTTTATCAAGACTACTGGAAAGCATGCAACTTATTCATTGCACTATAGGGTGATACAGGGCTCTCTGTGCATCTCTGCAGAAAATGGTGTGCATGTCGAGTAGTTTGTCTCTACTCTTGGACTCTCTATTGTGTGCTATGGCTCCACTTACCGGCCTCACTATGCACATACCAGAGCTGAGGAGCTGCACACAACACACACTGGTAAGCATTGCTGCCAATTTATGGTGCATACACATCATATCCTTTACATGTTGTTATGTGTACATGCTTTCACCTTGGTGAAATTATTGTAGTGAACTTCCAGTATATTGTTTGTTAAAGGAAAAACGCCTGCAGATTTATGCTTTACTTTGTTGACACAATGCCGCTGTTATGAATGAAACTTGTGGTATTGACAAAGTCCAATAACTGTAGCGGTACTTATCCTGTCAGTGTTTATTGTTCAGCATTGATTTATTTGTTGTTCCACTAATCAAAGCTGCTGTCAAAATGTACTGTTTGTACTATAATACCTATTCTAAACATCTCGAATTTGCACCTAACAAATGCCATTTAAGCCAAAGAGAAATATTTATCCAGGAGAGATTTAATCAAAAAAGGGAAAAACTCATTTCAAAAGGTTAAAAATAATACCAAGGAATAAAACGCAAATGTTTACAAACAACTGAAGCTACAGTGTAAACATCGTAACCCATTCCATAGACTCAACAAAACTAAACAAGTTTGCGGTAATTTTATTGTTTTATTTGGACATGTGCTCCTAAATGCACTTTATTATTATATCGTTGCAATCAGCATTTTTGCTTCCTCTTTCCTTGATTTTCTTTCCTTTGTGAATGCTTTTCTTGTTTGTTTAAAGGCCTCCACCTTGGATAACATTGCGTATGTGATGCCTGGCCTGTGAGTAAAAGGAGACCCCTACTGGCTCTACACAGCAATGATAACCTGAAAAACATTTTTCTGGTAGTTGATACTTGAAAAGTAAGAGTTTTGTGTTATGAGAATTTGCCTGCACTTTGAACTTTGAAGTGAACTTTTTTCAGAAGGACATTTTTTTTGTTAATTACATATGTTAATTATGTTTAAAATGCAAATTAAATGCCTTGCATTAACTATTTGATTAGATAAGATTTTTGAACACTCTGCTTTTTAAATTAAATGAATAGTGATAGAGATGTCTTGTGTACTTGGAAAACATTAGAAGTAGTGGGTAATTCACAGTAGAGATCAGGCATCACATATTTACATTTGCCTGGTAACTCAATAATAAATGTACATGAATACCATCTTATGTTTTGTTTGTACAGAATGGGTATGTATAGTCAACTTAAATATTCTTACAAAATGTTCTTGATGAGATGAGAAAAAGCTGGTTTCTTGAACATGACAATGAATTCATTGTACTCGGATGTCATCCACAGTCACCAGGTCAGTAGTCAATTCAGTAGCCACATCCTGGATGTGCAGCCAACAAATCTGCAGCAGCTGTACAATGCGATCATATCAATATCGACCAGAAACTATGAGAAATATTTCCAGCAACTTGTTGACACTTTGCCATGCAGAACCAAGGCAAGGGGATCCAGCCAAGTACTAGCAAGTGGGAATACAAGAAAATATTTGAGGATGAAGCTGTGGGGATGTGTGCAAATCTGTAAATATTACCCAGCTACTTTAATCACAGCCATGAATATATGCTGAAAGAGCAATTTTCTTGTTTTGCAAATTACTGAAAACAGGTTAACATTTGAATCCTTAATGACTAAGTGTTAGTGACATTAATCAAGAGGTCTGTTTGTAATTACTTTGATGTTGAAATGAAACTTAACAGCTCTTACTCATATGGAAGGCCATGAAGACTTGAAGTTTTATGCTTCATGATTCCGTAGGAAGAAAAGTTATTTTATTATTTTATTTTAAATTTTCCATTCGTGTAACACACAAAAGAAGCAGAATAATGTTCCTCTTGCATTTATTCTGTCTTTACATTGTAACTTTGTTTGTCTGTGACAAGCCTTCATGCTTTCATTTCTTTCTGGTTATGACAGCAACATATTTACAGACCTGGTTGACCAGGTAATATCCTTAGCAACTGCAAACCATGAAGGACACCTCCTTTAACAGATCTCTATGAGTTTTGACATATCATAGGTGTGGTAGTTAAAACTATCTTGGAACGATTCCCAGTGGCAGCTGGTTATACTGCCTCCACCCCAGGTTGGAATGCTTAGCAACCTACAAACTGAGAAACCTGTTGTATCAAAAAATATATTTACGAGTGCGCTCATGTATGAATGTGTTTAAATTTGGGAGTGGCTCAGGCGAGACACCTCATCTGAGCAGACAGCTTTTGCCAGTCGACTGGGAACTAGCATGTACTGAAGTTGTCTGCGTGAGAAATATAACCCAGTGCCAACCAAAAAAACTCAGTATTGACACAAGACAACACATGAATGCAACTTTGTAGACCTTAAACTCTTGAGTAAGTATTCGTCTTGTTGCTTAAATTGTTGTTGTAAGATTGTCTTGGTGTAAGAGACTTAATTGTTAAATTAGTTAATGTTATGCACTTGTTGATTAATTGCAATCATATTACGTTTCTTAGTTGTATTACTTTAATTACTGAAATTACATTGAAATTACTACATTGTTGATATATAATGTGTCATATTTGAGGAAATAGGTTGTTCGGTTAGCTCAAACTACATCCAGAAACTCAAACTATTTATTACAGTTTCAGCAATAGATTCACGCCTAATTTAGAATTTGTGCCAAAGCAAGTATACTTATGAAGTACAGCACTATTTGAAATGCTTCATCAACTCTCGTTGCTGTTTGTTCAGTATGGATTTGGTTTGTACCTTTTTGCATATATGAGTCCAGGCAGAATGTTGTTTGACAGGAATTGTCAAGGTGTGGTATCAAACACTGAGATGAAATTGATGTGACCCACAATCATTTCCAGTGAAACTACCAGTGAATTACTTTAGTTTTTGTTCATTCATGCACAACAAGGAACTGTAGGTATCCTGTGTGCAGAGAGACTCGTGTGGGAATAGAGGAGAAAGATTTCAAGTTAAGTTTAAGATGGCATTTTATCCGTTTCTGTTAAGATTGTATGATTACTTGATGCTTAAAATAGTAACTTGACTGATAAAATCTGCCTAGCTGAACCTGCTCAGCTGATCCAGTTGTCTGTTTTCCAGGTTTATTTGCATGTAAAGTTATGTGTGAGTTTGTCTAGGCAAAACCTAACAATAAAACCTAGTATTAAAAGACAGCTTTTATTTTGGTTGGTTGGTGTAGCTTCCTACAAATAACACAGGTGATATACTGTCCTCAATTTCTCTCTCTTTTGTTTTTTTGGACTCCTTCCTGTTTCCTTTATTCATGTCAGGGATGGGTGAACACTACAGAGAAAGCTACTATGGATCCTCGTCCTCAGACCTGAGATTGCTTCTTTTGGGGAATATCGGATGTGGAAAGACAGCATTAGCGGACACTATCCTGGCCCAGCTTTCCCCCATTTCTCCCGGTGCCTCCAGGAGCTGCCAGCTACGGCAGGGCTTCATTGAAGGCAGGAATGTGACCCTGGTGGAGGCACCGAGATGGTACTGGAGTGGTGGCAAGATGGAGGACGGTGTCAAAAAGGAGACACAGCGAGCAATGACTCTGGTACCACCAGGCCCACATGCTATTTTGCTGCTGGTGCCTGTTAATCAATTCACAGAGGTTAGTCTTGGCTTGCCCGTTAGTGATGTCATCTGTTGCTCAACTTTGTTGAAGTTGCAGTCTGTAATGTGTACTCAATAAAAAAATGTCTATCTATCAAACTAGTGGAAAAAAATGTGTTCCAAATATACAAGTTACAGATGTTCTGAAACATCTCCATAACAAGCAGTAACCAGTTTAGATCCATTTTTCCTCTTTGCCTTTTCCCCACGCAGGTGGAGACACGTGTGCCTGCAGAGTTGGAGGAACTGTTTGGACAGGAGGTGCTGGACCACACCATGGTCATGCTGACCTGTGGGGACTACTTGATGGGAAAAACAGTGGAGGTATGAGAGGTGTTCACCTACCCTCTCTTTAAGCTGATCTTTATAAAGCAGGAAAGTCAGTACCACTATAAAACGGCATAGTTTCACCTATTAACTTACGACCTGGCCCCTTATTTATAAATAAATGTTATCTCGTGTTGGGTTTTGTAAATATGCTGTCAGTAATATTTTAGGTGGTTATCTTATTCTTGGAGTATAACATATAGGAGTGATGCAAATCATTGCAGGTATAAATTCACACAAGCTGCATTGTTTTCTCACAGGAGTACCTGCAGAAAGAGCACCCAGGCCTGAGGCAGGTAATTGAGGGTTGCGGAGGACGGTACCATGTCATCAATAATCGTCAGCGACAGGACAGGGACCAGGTCCGTGAGCTGCTGGAAAAGGTATGAAGTAGGAGTGAAAAACAGTTATCAAAAAGCAACATTCCTCAAAGGGTTTGTCTGATTCAGTAAAAGTGTGAGCGTTCGTGCCCTCACACATTTTATCATTTGGATGAGACTTCCTCATTGCTTAAGTGCATTGAATTTTTTAAATACTCTATAGGTTGGAGCTTTTTGTTTTAATGGTTTCTTTAAGACTACTGAGCAAGTACGCATGCATGCATGCTGTTTTTCCAGGAACGCCTAGTTTCACATCACACCCTGTTGTAGTCTGGACTGGTTTGAATATTAGCGACGATTGTGATTGTTTTCTAACTGTGACTCACAAAACAGAGTTAAAGTTCCTGCAATAAGTTACTATTGTTTGTTTATTTATCTACAGGTGGACAATATGGCGCGGAAAAACGGGTTATACTACATGAAAACAGTCCAGGATAGAGAGCTGGAAAAACGGGTGAAAGAAAAAAAGGAGCAACTTATGGAAAGTTTCAGGGCTCAAAAGGAAGAGAAGAAAAAGACCCACACATCATCTTATACCCCAAACACAGAAAGTCAAGAGGAAGAGTACTTCAATGCCATTTCAAGAGAGAGAAGGAGGAGACAGGAAGAAAAGGAGGGAATGGTGGAAGGAGTTAAGGTGAGCCAGGTGTCCAATGAGTATGTCAGTGCCATATCAACAGAATCAAGGAGGAGAAGAGAAGAAATGGAGGAAATGGTGGAAGGAGTTAAGGTGAGCCAGGTCTCCAGTAGCCTTTATTCAACTCCAGCTCTAGAGCGACAGCCATCCTCCGAGCTCTGTGATACCGGGGAGTTAAAAAGGATACCCAGTTTCAAACTGAATCGAGGTAAATGCCACTAACCGTGTGCTGTCCTCCATTATTGTACCCTGATTCATTCTTTTAGAAGAGTTAAAAAAAAAAAAAAGACAAAAGTGAGCAAAACTTGCTTTTTTCCCCACTAGATGGAGCTATACTCTCCCAAATGTCAGAGGATAAATCAACTCAAAAAGTGATCTCTACTTGTAAGTCAAAGGACTTCACTCTCTCATATGTCACTATCAGCACTTCACTTCTTAATACGTCACTGACTCTGATTTTTACCTGATGGTTTCAGTTCACCACAGAATTAACAGCTTTGAAGAGAGATCACCCGAGGGTTCGCCTACCACTACTCCTCTTTCGCCAGTCTTCTCCTCTTCCTTCCCCTCCTCACCAACTTTTGCTGCCTCTCCTTCCTTGATCTCCTCATCCAGCTCAACCCCTTCTTCCCCCTCATTGTCCTCATCCTCATCTTCTCCGGAGCTTCGTCTGGTGTTGCTTGGAAGATCTGGATCAGGGAAGAGTGCAGCTGGCAATGAAATACTGGGGCAGGAAGCCTTTGAGTCACGTCCAGACAGCCTCATAGCAATCACACAATGGTGTGAGAAAAAGAAGGCATTGGTTAAAGGAAGAAGGGTTAGTGTTTTGTTTTTGTTTTTAAGTTACTAAGATGTCTTTTTTTTTCTATTTATCTCAACATACACCCATTACAATATCTCAAAGAATAAAGTATTTCATACTCTCTTCTTGTTTTGTTGCTTTTGATAATAGCTCTTTACATTTTTGCATGCATTTTCTCTGTCACCTGCAGGTGGCAGTGGTGGATACTCCAGACTGGTTCAATTCAGAGCGCACTCCAGATGAGGTGCGAGCTCAGATCTCCTCCTGTGTGGCTCTGTCCAGTCCCGGCCCGCATGTCTTCCTCTTTTGTGTTCCCTTAGACCAGCCTGCAAAGACCGAGCTGCAGGCTCTTGCGTCACTAGAGGCTGTTTTTGGGCCTGAAGCAGTCTGGAGACACACTTTGGTCCTCTTTACTTATGCTGATTGTCTCAGGGCAAGTGGGAAGGCCAAAAATAAGAACATTGAGGCATACATTGCTGGTCAGCGAGGAGATTTGTTAAAGATTGTGGAGAAATGTGGGGACAGATTTCATGTTTTGGAGACAGAAAGAGGTGGGGGAGAGAAGAGCAATGTTGCCGACCTGCTAGAAAAGGTGGAGCAGACAGTGAAGGAGGCCGGGGGGCAGTATTATTCTTGTCCTGCTTTTCAGGAGGCCGAGAACAGAGTGAGGCAGAAACAGCAAGAGATGGCAAGAGAGAAACGAGGCGAAAACCTAGCAAGAGTAGAGGATGTTGGCCCACTCAGCTCTGAAAGGCGAAAGCTTTATCCTTACATGCAGTCTGTTTCTGAAGTAGACGAGGAAGTGACGGAAGATGATATTGAGAAAACAAGGGATGAGGCCGAGATGAGTGTAAGTACTACAAATATTGAGAGTCTTCCTCCAATTACACTTTCGACCATATCCCCTTCACTACTTAGTTCCATAATGGAGAAGATGAGCACGGGTGCAAAGAATTTACCCAAGCTGTTGGCAGATAGCTCTGTGTGGGTTGGAGAGGGAGCACAGAGGATGAAAGATAGTGGAATGTGGGAAAAAGTTGGCACTAGTGCACAAAGTGTCCAAAAGATGGTGGTTGATAGTTCTGTGTGGGAGAAGGTAGGAGTTACTGCAGGAAATCTCTCCAAAGCAGTAGGAAATAAAGTTCCCAAGGTAGTGGTAGATGGTTCTGCATGGGTGGGATCTGGAGCAAAAGCAGCGGCTGCAAGTCCAATGTGGGAAAAAGTGGGTTCAGGGGCCAAAGTCATGGCAGAGAGTTCCATGCGTGTCGGGGCTGGAATTGGAGCTGGGGCAAAGAATTTGGCACAGAGTCCCGTGTGGGGAAAAGTAGGCTCTGGAGCCAAGGCAGGGGCCAAAATGGTGGCTGAGAGTTCAGTGTGGGAGAAAATTGGAAATACAGCTAAACAGGTGCCCAAAGTAGTCATTGGCGGGGCACTGCTGGGTCTGGTGCTCGGTGTGCTTTTGGGCGGTGTGATTGGCGGAGCTGTTGGGGCAGCTGCTGGATCTGCAGTAACAGAGGTGGGCAGGCGAAAACTCAGCAAGAGAAGCACAACAGAGAAGACAGAAGACGCTGCAAGAAACGTTGACAGAACAGTAAACAAGAACATCGACGCAGTGAGAAAACGGGGAGAGAATTTTTTGAAAACTGAATGAAGGACTGACAGATGTTTGTATATAAAATGTATAGCAAATGTAAAAGTGCTTTTTTTTTTTTTTTTTTTTGTGAAATAATATTTTCAGCTTTTTGACTGTTGTGTAATTTTTGAGGCATAAAATACTTTAAAATGAATTTGATTTGAGACGATTATAACTTCAGTTTATCGCTACATGTTTTATTGAGACACTCGATAAGTACAGACGAGTGTGACATTTATTAATAGATGAATTACACATATTGATATTGAAGCAATAATATATAAATGAAAATACTTTTCTGAATGTTGATACATGTTTGCAAGACATCAAAATATGCAAAGGAATGATAAAACGTATGACTATTTTTGATAATGTCAAAGGCAGTGATTTAACAAAACGAGTGAGTAAAAAGAATATTAAAATCTGTATATTGATGGAAATTCTGTAAATTATACCCTGAATTGGTCACAGTGTTTTTTGATTAAAAGTTGTCATCAGAAAGTCATTGCATTTTTGTGTGTTTTTGGTGCTGAACCACAGAGCATGAAAAATTCTTTACGAACATTTTTGATTTAACAACAATAGACAGTCTTTCACTTTTTAACCTTTATATACTGAAGTTGGTTTCACGTTTATGAAATCTTTGACAGTATTTTCAGCAAGCGAAACCTGCTTCATGACTACAAACATTATGACATTACTTCTCACATTCAGGTTTAGGCCGTAATGAATGTGTCAAATTCAGTTCAGTAAGAGATTTTGCATTTGTAATTATTTATTATAGCATCAGAGTATAGTTACTTTGCATCTAGCTTGAGTTCATCCTGCTGATTTTATAAATTGAGAAGTGATATTTTTCTCCCTGTAGCCTACAGGTGGATGCTGGGGGTGGAGAGTTTGAAAAAACAGGCAGCTATGCAGAAGAGCAGAGGTATTGACCGTAAAATGATTTTACCTGTGTAAGACTTAACACAGATCAAATTGTATGCTAGAACTATGAACCCTATTCCAAAAAAGGGACAGAGTTTAAGATTAAAATAAAAAAATAAAAAAAAAGTTTGGAAATGTTAAACTAAATTTATTCACAACAGAAGGCAGAGAACAAATGGTTAAACTGCAATGTCCAAGTCCTATCTTGTATATAAATTTAGCTTCTCAGCAGTCATGTGTCTTCTTTGTCATATTTTTTGTTTCATTATGTGCCAAATGTGTTTGTGAAAGCACCCAGCCTCTCCTAGTAAATCATGCTGTTGTAACAGATGCTGTATGCATCTATTGCAGCTTGTTGAAATATGCGATGGCTTCCCTGGAAAAAAGATGTCATCTGCATGGAAGCATGCATGTCATGGACATCTAATATTAATTGTTGGCCTTGACAGAGATTTCTCCAGATTCTTAGACTCGTTTGATTCCATGTAGCGTAGATGATCCAAAGTCAAATTTATGTTGATGAACATTTTTCTGAAATTGTTGTTTGTAGATGCAGTTTTTTGCTGATTAGTAAACATGAGCCCATCTTTGCTTCTGAGAAACTCTGAGAAACAGATGGTGTTTTTATACACATTCATGTAACTGTCCTATTTTCAGTGTTCCTCCAGCAGTGTCTTTTTAGGAATGCTTAATTTTCCAGCCTTTTGTGGCCCCATCCCAGCTTTTTCGGATGTGTTGTGGAGATTAAAATAAGATAATATTTTTCTCAAAATAGTAAAATCTCAGTTTTTTTGATCTGTTTTCTGTTCTCTTGTGAATATGTGTTTATGACATTTGCAAATCACTATTTTTTTTTGTTTACATTTTACGCCACATCCCCAAATCTTTTGGAATTGTGTTTATAGTTTGCAGAATTCACTCCGTTTATTGGATTTATTTACGTAAGTGGGTGTGCTTCTGGTCGTAAGAGGGACACAACTGAGGGTGGGAGGAGGAGGTAGGGTGGAGGCATCGGCATTATCTCTAAGTCCCAGGCTGGCTAGCATCACCCTGCGCGGCCTCCTGTATCAGAAGTCGAGAAGGTTGACATCCCAGGAGTTTGAATTACAATTTTGAGGGTTTATTTCCTGAACTGTACTGTGCAGCCATAAAAATATTTTTGAATAAATAACAGTAGTAACAATAGTAATAATACATTTCAACAGTTTGCTTTTTTATCGGGACAAGCTTACAAGATAAAACGGGTTAATGTCTAACCCATAAATCATATATTGTTAAACAACTCAAATAAATCTAGTGTGTTATCCAAAAAATCTTTGAATAATTCAATTTGTACAACTGCAAAGTGACACACTATCTTTAATTTGCATGACCCCTGCTTCACTCTGTAATCCTCTCTGAGGTTTTAGAGTGAAGCAGGGAGGAGAAGGCCCAGCTTAGCACAGCCGAGTGGGCAGATGCAGTCACAGCAATGTTGTGAAAGCAGTTCTTCCTGTTGTATGATCCTGAAACCAAGTGTGCAGGGCTTCCCAGGGCACCCTGGTGGCTGTTTTCTCTTTCTTTTCCTCCTCCTATCTTCCCTTCTTCTATGCAGCGGTTGCTACCCCACACATCCAAACACCCATCAAACATGGTACAGTCACACCGCCACCACCCAACCTCCAGGAAACTCGTTGGCCGTAAATGAGACAGGACTAACTGTAAGCGTTTCCTGGCCAATTGATAGACAGACACCCGCACCACGGCAACAGCTGCAAGCCCCCTCCCTCCCGAACACTTTTCACTTTCCTCCACCATTCTGAACCCCATCTTCAACCGCATCCCACATCCACCCTGACTTTCCGCAAACGCAACCACACACGAAAAAAATTGTTGCCTTCACAGTTTTTTTCCCTTGTTCTTCAACATATAACGCACATACATGCACACACTGTCTTCATTTTAATTCACCACAAATTTACTTGTGATCACAAATTGTGCCTATAATGTTGTATTGTATTGTCAGACTGGGCATTCATCTGTAAATCCTCCACCAGTATAAAAACGCTTTAAAGTCTGCTTCTTGGGAAAACCTCATTGCCTTGTGGAAAACATTTGTTTTTCGGTTTGCTGGACTTGCTACAGGAATGGCAGGGCAACTGTAGATCCATGTTCTCGGTGTCACGTCACTCACTAGTTTTATTTTTTGACTTGTGTTGTTTATGGCTTCCATGCTGAAACACTATTGTCAGTCATCTGTCATTCTGGTGAACAGCACACGTAAACAGCATGGAGTTGTGCTTTGGCTACTCGCGCTGACAGCTTTGTTATGGACAAACAGAAGGACACATGACTTACGTGCAGATTTTTCAAAATAAAGTTAAAAGAAGCGAACTTCCAATCACCATAAACCATTTTAATCTCATAATCTAGCAGTTTGGTCATTGTGTTCATTTTATGCTACTTACTGGTGAGTTTGAGCATACACAAGTATGCTAAACCGAGAGCGGCAAAACATTTGAATGTGTTGAGAAATTGTGCTGACATAGAGCAGTCTTTGGAGCGCAGTAAGAGGATGTCAAATAAGGAACAGCAAACTAAAACACACTTTATTTCTGTCTCTTACAAGTGTGTCACAATGTCAGGGCGGAACCATCGGCCCTGCTTTTCAGACAATTAGAGCAGCGAGGACATTAAGAAACGGCAACGTCAAATCACCACTGCATGCAATGCATTTCTCTGCAGGCACTCTTAAGTTACCGTAACTGAACTGAGGCAAGGCTGATTATTTACATGTAAACTTCAGAGACTGACAAAATATTTGATTTTCATGCTTTTTTCTGACAGATCTTCCATTTTTATCCATTTGCTAAGAAGATTTTAAATTCCCCGGATTACCTTTATAAGCACGTGTAATCAGGGCCCTGTTCGTGTCTTTCTTCTTCTACTGTTTTAGTTGTATAATGTTTATTAAAGGATCATTGTTACCATATTTGGATATGAAGCTGGTTTGAGTGTTCTGTTAAGTTTCATGTCTCAGCCTTCCTCAAAGCACAGTTTGGTGTTTCACTAAATGACAGCTTCACAATCAACATTGCCAGAAAAGACAAAGAAGCTCTCAAACCTGCAAAATTCATTTAAAAAAAATCCCTCTTTTTTAAAAAACTTATTCACACCTTTCTGCAATTGATCAAACACTTTTGATATCTCCGTCTCTGCCTGGCATTTAAACTCCCAGTGTTTACTGCCTTTTGGTGTCACCGCTCATCATTCGATGCTGCCACCATCCCTATCTGACTCTTGACCTTTCCCAGAATGCCTTGGGTAACCACAGAGGTCTTAGCACCAAAGCTTTCTTCACTGTCTGTGTCTCCATAGCAACTGGACGTTGCTGGGGAATTAACCAGGGCACTGATTGAGTCAGTTGAGTCTCTGTCTCTGTGGGCTAACGCCAAAGCGGGACGGGCTGACGCAGGCAGGGCAGAGTGGGATGGTGGCGGAGTGTCGCACTGAAAACGAGGGTTCAGTTTTTTGCCTGCCAAACCAGGAGCCATGCTCTCATCCTCCACATCATCCTCAGCCGAGTCCCTGCTCTTGTCTTGATCCTGGTCATTGAGCAGTGTGACCAGGAAGTTGATGTACTTCACGGCCAGGCGGAGGATTTCGTTCTTGCTGAGTTTCTTGTCAGGTGGGTGCGTGGGAATGAGTTTCCTCAGCTCCGAGAAAGCCCCGTTGACGTTCTGCTGTCGCCAGCGTTCACGGCTGTTGGTGAAGACGCGGCGGGCGAGTTTTTGGGGAGGGCCTGTTAAACACACATAAACACAGATTTAGTCCAAAAGGTGTTTTTTTTTTTTTAACAAATCCTTCAAATCATCACCAACTTTTTTTTAAAATAACTTTGCTAACAAAAGGGGGAGGGGATTAATTAGACTTTGGAAGAATATTAAATATTTGTTATCCATTTTTAACGATTAGATTCCTCTGCAGGAGGTTTTGGGCCATGAGCTGGTTTTCAGTTCCAAAAAAAGTGGCATATGGTGCCAGGGGTATATTCCTATACCCATGGCAAGGCAAGGCAAGGCAAGGCAAGTTTATTTGTGTAGCACAATTCAACAACAAGGTGATTCAAAGTGCTTTACAGAGACATTAGAAACAAGAACAAATAAAAAGCATGATTTAAAATTGATTAAAACAAGCAAATAAACTAACTAACTAATTAACAAACAAACAAACAAACAAACAAACAAACAACAGTATATAAAATCAAAACAGATAAAATCAGGCAGGATATAATGGCAGGATATAGAAAAGCACTGAGAGATGGACTAGCAAATTGTGGAAGTATGTTTTTCTCACAGGATGTGATGGCAGTGAAAAAAAGTACATAACATTGCCACATACTCTTTAAATAGTTTAAATATATGCCTTCATCTCCAAAATGTGGACATCAATTTCCCCAAATTACAGTTCAAAACATTCAAACAATAATTATCTCCATAATAGTGTCGGATGTACACACAGAAACTCACATTCATTCATCTCCATCTCAAAGTGCGAGGAGGGTCTCCTCTTGATGCGGTTGTTGCTGATGACACCATAGCTTCCTCCTGAAGAACCCAGGTACGAACTAGAAACACAAACACTATGTGAATCATTTGTGGGATCGTATTTACAGTCAAACAAGTAAAAAATAAGCTACATATAAATAAAAACAAGACACATATAAGGTTGTTTTGGCATTTCGTCCTCCTTCCTATAGCAACTGAATAGGGAGAAATCATAAAGAGTGGCTAAAGAAAGCAGGAACATGGTCATTAATGGAGGTGTGAATGTGAGTGGTGGCGTTGATTGAGTGTGCATGCAGAGTTTTAACCCAATCTCATTAAGCTTGGTTACTAGCTGATTCTACTTCAGGGGGGATGAAATAGATCAATGCTTCCTGCTACAAACAAACCAGAGAGGAAAGGGGAGAGAAGCTTATTCCCAGACCTCCATGACAGATGGGGAAGCCACAGATATATCCACTGTGCAAAAAAAGTCCCACTTTTTCCACTCTTCTGTGAGAAAACTGTGTAGAAAATGCCGTTTGGAGTAGAGAATAGAGGAACAGTAGGAGGGCTTTGATAAAGACTGCAAATTAATGCCTTTCTTCACAGGAGTAAAAGAAGAGCTGCCAGTTGCTCGGGCCCAAAAAGAGCTTTAAGAGTTCTGGTTTGCTTCCTTTTGTCAGTTTAAGGATTAAAATTAGCTGTAATTAAAACTGGATGTATAGTTTAGAAAAGTGGTATATTCAAGTAAAGGTTTTTTACTTGGCTGCTAAATGCACACACACAAACACGCACACACACACACAAAGAAAAAAAACATTCACTGATTCAATTTGTGTTCGGTAACCAAAAGGTCTGCTGGGTAAATTTAGCGTGAGAAATGTGAGGTCCCTTCAAAACAGCACACATCCTGCTGTCATTTTCACATAACAGCGCAGCACAGCGGCTATTAATCATGATGGGAAGTCGAGAAATCCGAGCAGTTGAGGTTTTATCTGAAACTTGGCATTGCAGCGAGAAAAGTGGCATCATCCTCGATAGCAGCATGTCAGGAAGCTGTACTGTAGTGAGTTTTATAGTTTAGTTGTCCGCATCTGTTTGCAGGCTTTTTCGAAAGGAAGTCAATGAGTGTGCGATACTTTATTTTACATAATGTTCCAATTTATGCGATGGTTATTTTACATAATTTATAACTTTTTCATTTTACCTCTAGAATTATTTGCTTCCAATGAAACAAATTCATTCAATAAACATATTCATGCACTGCACTGATCATTTTAACCACACTGTCAGCAAATGTTGCAGTTTTTAATCGAGCAGATAAAAGGTAGCATTACAAATATGCATTTTTCTTCTTCTTCTTCTTTTTTTTTTTTTTTACCTTGCATCAATCTTTTTTTTGTTGTGGATACTTTAGCTTTACTTGCTTTAGCCTTCAAATATATTAATTTGAAGTCAAAAGTAGGGCCTTGTCTAATGTTTGGATTACTCCAAAAGTAATTTAAAGGATTCTTTTCTTTTAAAAAACAACAACAACAACAACAAACAACCAACATAATCCTGCTCAACGTTTGGAGTAGATACAGGAATTTTTGAATTGAAAGGTTTCTTTGATTGCATAATTGCAGTCTATCTTCAGAAATTAGTGTCAAATTGAAAAAGGAAAATTGGGAGACATGATCCAGATGTTCCCCCAAAAATATCGTATACTAATCTGCATAAAGATCCAGACTCACTTTAATCATGGTGTAGCAGCACTCAGACTGCTCTTGTTTCAAGAAGTTATAAGTGACTCACACTGTGTATGAATGAATTCAAATTTGTATAATCTCACCTAGTGAAGAAGGGGTGACCAGACAGGTACTGATGAGGCAACAGGGGCCCTGAAGAAGCAGCTGTGGGACCTACGGGACCTCCAGTAGATCCAGAAGCTCCGGGGCTGACCACAGGTAAACAGTTCAAATGGCCGCGGCGAATGTCTCCATGTGGCCCATGTAGGAGATTGGGAATTGGGTGGAGGGCAGTCAAAGGGGTATTTGGGAGTGGCAGTGGGGGCTTGCTGTGGCCAAGGCTGATAACTGGAATGTGAGGAGGAAGAGGAGAGGATGATGAGGATGAAGGGAAGGCAGCTGTGGAGGTTGGAGGGGGAAGAGGGCACGGGGAAGTCTTTGCTGGTGCCGGGAGGAGTGGAGGTGGCGAGGAAAGAGTTGGGGACCCGTTGGCTGAAGCAGCAGGAGCAGTGGTGCTCTTTGGCCCCCCTAGTTTTTCCTCGTCCTCTTCTTCCTCCGTTTCCATGGCAATGGGCTCAGGTGCAGCAGTTGTATCTGCTTGGTGATTGGTTAACACTGTGTTTGGGGTGATGAGGGCTTGTGTCGAGCCAGGAGTAGGGACATCCGTGTGTCCCTTGTGCCCTGTCTTGTTAGTGGGTTGTGGGCTGCCGATAGCATCCAAGGATGCTGACTGCTGGCTGTAGAGAGGGCTGCTATGCTCCATGGATGCACACGATGGTGAGGAGGCAGAGGATGAAGAAGAGGAGGAGGGGCGAGGTATGTCGTGGGGTGAGGCAGGCGGGCCAGTGGAGTTCAGCTTCTCCATCATGGTGGTGAAGTCTCTGAAGGAAACTCTGTCAAGGTGTCGCTCTTCTCAGCTGCCCAGCGTGCGTGCTGCAAGTCTGTGTCTCGTCCCTGTGGTGTTTTACACGAGAGTCAATAATGTGTTTATATTCCGGCACACGCAGCTAGTCCTGCAGGGCCTTAAAAATTTCTCCTGGCCTGGAGTCTTTTAACCCTTTATTTACTTTTCCTTTGTTCTACTTTTCTACAGATTTTTCAATATTTTAGCATTTCTACATACATGCATGAATTGTCCTTATTTCTCAGCATACAAGTCTTTTAACATCAGTTCAGTTTTATTTAGATTTTACAATATTATTAATTATTTCATGAATCTTCACAGTGACACCGGCTGTTACACGCTTAGGAGGTTTTCGTACAGCCTTATTACTCATGATGGCTGTTGCACAACTGTAATATAATGTAACAGAATATTGCACAATGTTCCAGTAAAGCAAATTAATTAATTTCCATGTTCAATTTAAATTAAACGGAGTTGGATAGAATTTGCAAACTTAAATAAGGGGCTAATGCTGTGATTAAGTCTCTGGCTCCAGCATATAAAGGAGGTGGCTCTTGCAGTTTGATGTGATGGGGAAGTCTGGTTTTTTTGTGTTGTTTTTTTTTTTTTTACTGTACATCCCGAGTAGCAAATTCTTTTTTGGTTTTGAACGAGTCTCTAGTGGCTTCTCTTAATAAGTCTATCCGTCTATCTGTCTGTCCACATGTATTTTGAGGATATGAGTCAAAATCCTTTTACGGACCCCAAAAGTCCCAGAATGCTGACGATTGGATTGATATCAAAGAGTCTGTTGAACAAAACAAAGGGAAAAATGGACTCAGGATATATATTTGATGTATGTTTAGCAAAGACTATAAGATATGAAAATGTGCTTAAAGGTCAGTTTGCACACGTGCAGTGCAACAGTTTCTGATAAGCTGATGCATGGCTTAAAATCTGGATTCAGTTCATCAGAAATTTATTTCAATTGTAAATTTAGAAGTTTGATGCAATTTTAAAATGTTGACATATGGAGTAAATTCATTCTTGTACTTTACAAATTGCTGCTCGTTAGTCTGTCTTGCAAAGCTTACAGCTCATGATTTTTCAGGTTTTGCAATCGCAATTGTTCCTGTTTTCTTTTCTGGTGGTCATGACTTTATTTTGGACAGTTCCGTCTTTCGCAGTGATGTGTAGGAATGACATTTGCAGCTAATTCTTTATAAATATATATTTTTTGCAGCATATCCCCAGCAGTTTGTTAACCATTGTATTGATTTTTAAATGTAAGGCCCAGCATGTTTACTTTTGAAGCACACATTTTAAAGAGGATTCGTTTTTGTAGTGAAAGACACAAAGCAATGCTTTCAGAAGTCCCCTCATTTTTTTGGTTCAATTTACAATTGTGACAAAAATGTTATTAACTCTTAAAGTTTTTTTTAAATTTTTGTTCAATATCTTTCTTTCTGGTAAGGCCACTTGTTATTTTCCTATATTGCTCGAGTAGCCAAACAGAGTGTATTATATTTTTACATAAATAAATAGATAACTGGGGGTAAAATGTTATAATTTAAATTAGGACAGAAATCAGAAATCCTATGTTTTCAAACAGTTAACTAGAATATATTGTCAATAATAGAAATATAATACATTATTAATATTTTTTAATGAATAGATACATGATGTATTGGACATCATGTATGTGTATTGTGCTATTATTACTAGTATTTAAATAAGCATTACTTCCTGCAAACTATTTGCGTACAATTTGAACAATAAGTAAGACAATAGGTAACCTTTAATACTTACATATACATTATGACATCCACTGTGGCTCGTGAGTATGGCGTACAAAATCCCTCAGAGTTCGAGTGATCGGAGAACGCACACGTATCTGCTCAGTGTTTAGCGTCCTCTCCCTCCTCCTTTAAGTCGCTCACACTCCACTGCAGCCTGTCAGCGTCTGTCTGTCAACTTATGAGGTCAGAATTGGAGCCACGCTGTCTGATACCACTGCTCATATTCTTAAACATTTATAAATAATTATAAATATTCAAAGAAAAAAACATTTACAAAGAGAAGAAGTCAGAGCGAGGCCAAGCGACTGGGAAACATAGATGTATGGTTTTTTTGATTGGAAGTTGCTCCTTTGAACGAAGACACACTCAAAACGTGGAGATGGAAGGTGCGGGTCTCCACCATCACCCCCTGTCCATATGTCAATCTCGTCTCTCTCCCTCTCTCTGTCTGTCTTTCTCTATCTTTCACCGTCCTGCCTGTCCTTTCCCTCGCTCAATCTCTTCGCCAAGAAGACACAATGCTGTCGCTGGTTGCCAGAGTTCTGGTACTGGCAAATGTGAGGTGGGAGAGAGAGTGAGAGAGGGGGGGGGGGAGAGGAGGGGAGAGAGTGAGAGAGAGAGAGCGAGAGGGAACCGTGTTGCAAGGAGAGTTTTCCGCTCCCTGCTGGACAAGAGGATGTGCTAGTACAATATGGTGGCTGCTGATAAGAGCCTCAAAAGCTGCCTGTGGCCTGTAGATAAGGAACCTTCACCACCCCTCTTCCTCCACCACCAATACCAGCACACACACACGAATCAGCAGGTTCACGCCTACATGCATGTACGCACACATACACACGGCACTGGACTGGTCAGTCCCAAACTTTGAAGGGATCTGGATCATTTCCAAGAAAATATTTGCAGCTGCACTTATATAACAATATATTAAAGAGACAATGTGGCTGCTGCTCATTCATGCACGTGCTTTCACAAATATGCCTGTGTGTTTTAACGCACACATACATCGCATGCATGCACAACATGGCCACTTGGGATATCTTTGTTTAAAATATCAGCCCTTAAAGCTCGTTGTCACATTCTGATTAGCACAAAAGCCCTCAAATGATGGGCGTTTAGAGCAGACAAACAAGTTCTGTTTGCTGGATTTAGACCACATTTGAATGACTGAATGAGGAAATTAAACAAACGGGTATCTGAAATTAACAACTTATTTCAGTTGAAAAAGATAAATGTCTCACTACGATCAAAGGTCAAGCAGTGATCATTAGAAAGGTCATCTCTTCAAAGTTGGTTGTATATACTTTGAATGTGTCATATGTTTGAATAAGGCTTTCACGATTATCTTGGCTCGACAACAGAGTAAATGGCAAAATAATTGACAGGGTGCTGAAAAACATCGTTAATCACCTTAATCTTCACTGGTATAGATGTTACCTACACAAATGCTCTGAGGTTTTTGGTCTGTGTTGTTTTTACTATGACATCAGAGCACACCTGTGCCGCCGCCGACCGATAGATAAGTCATCATCACGGCAATTTTCCTCTCCAAGAGCTCCCAAACTTCCTTCCTCAATTTGTCTCTCACCCTTTCTCCTCTTCGCTTGTCCATTCCCGTCCAATTCTGCCCAAACTCCCTCTCTCTCTTTCAACCTCAGGGTCAGCACTTCTTTTACATTGCCTCAGTCATTTCCTTCTTAGACAGACTGAAACACAAACATTATAAAGGCTTTACAGTTACCTGACCTTCAAGGTCCTGGGAAGGAAAAGTGTTTGCTGAACAATTGCTCAGCAAATCTGTCACCACCTTCATCATCATCATTTTATTAGTTGTATTTTTTTCCCCTTTTCACCGTAATCACCTTAAACATCATCGTCGTCATCGCTATAAGCAACTGCTGCATGTGAATATGTCAAACTAACAATAGGCCTACAGAATCAGAGTACAGACGGTGTCGTCTGCTGGTCCTGGTCGTCACACTTTTTTGCTTCCACAGCTGTGGTTCCAGTTGATCACTCTCTGTGTGCTAGAATAACGCGGTGGCACCGTTGCGCCTGCAGATGCTGCATAAATTTGCGTGTAACATATAAAAAGCTACACGGGGGACAGACAGAAATCCTTTGGGATTAGCTTTTTCCTGTGCTTTACAGTATGTGTTCCTGTCACACAGTTGTATTGTTAATAACGTTTTGGTTCATTAAAGATGTTCACTTTGCTTCCGCTTCATTTAGAGATTATTTTAAAATAAGATACAAACAAATGATAATGCGCATAGTTTCGCTTTTTGACTGATTGTCGTGTTTAGAAATTTTAAAAGTCGGGACGGGTAAAGGGGTAAAAGAAGTTGGAACGAGAGGGCGTGGGGCGGGTTTAGAAATGAGAAAATTCTAAATTAAAAAGTTAAAAGGTTAGAAATGGATAGATAAACATGAAAGTTTTATATCCCCATGTGTTACCATGTCTTTACATTAATTTACTCATTTATTTACTGCAGTGAAAGCATGCTTCAAGTCTGGATAAAAGGCACTTTACATAAAAGTAAGAGAAATTTGTATATGATACAACACTGTGTCACATAGTGAGTAACGAATCATTTTACAGTTCGGATTTCCCCTTCTTCAGGTAAAACCCTTCTCAGACAGTCACAGTTTTCTCGGGACCAGACTGTCTTATTTAAAGCCCCATGTGAACACTCAAACTGTAAATGGGGAATAATAATAGAAACAAACGATAACAGCCAGCTTCCGCTTTTCCCTTGAGTGAGGAAGAAATCAAGAGATGATTGTTTTAATCTCAGCGCGGTGCCTGTCACACCCTCCTCCTGGCTACCTTAAAATACCCCGCTCAATAAAAAGAGCATCAATAGGGGAACCTCTATGTGTGTGTGTGTGTGTGTGTGTGTGTGTGTGTGTGTGTGTGTGTGTGTGTGTGTGAATGCACCTGCAGAAACACTGATCTCATCTGGGCAAAGAGTTGAAAATGAAAATGTTTTAAACGAAAAGCTTTGGATCCAGTAGAAAATAGGCCCCATCAGCAGCATTCAAAACTGCCAAAATCTAGATCCATCTGTTATTATTTTTAAAATTTTATTTAATGTATTTATTTATTCACTTATTTATTTATTATTTTAGTTATTTCGTTTTCTATGCTGGTCATTTGTAAGAAATGTTTTTATAAATTGGTACGGGCAGTTGAACACAACAAGCCATTTAAACAAAGCCGACCTTTAAGGAGAAATGAGGCCACTGTCATCATCACGATGACCACAAAAGAGTTTTCAGATAGCAGGTGTGCATTGCTACACTGGTATAAAGCACATATACAGTATACGTATACTTTATTAGGTATACCTTGCTAGTACTGGGTTGGACCCCCCTTTGGCTTCAGAACATTAGTCATTAAGGGTGTGGCATGTGGTGTTTAGAAAAAGCTGAGTTGGCACATGAAGATATCCTACACGCCGTTACACCACTACTAACACCTTGAACTGTTGCTACAAGGTGTTTGTGCCAAATTATGACCAGGCCATGTTTTTCCAGTCTTCTTTTGTCCACGTTTGGTGATACCGCATGAAGCCTCAGCATGCTCAGTTTCCTGTACTTGGCTAACAGGAGTGGCCAGTCTCTGTAAACTCTAGAGATGGATGTTTGGGAAAATCCCAATAAATCAGAGGTTTCTCAAATACTCAGATCAGATCTGAGCGACAAACATGCCACATTCAGAGTCACTTAAATCACCTTTCGTCCCAAACTGATGTTCAGTTTGAACCTTATCAGGTCATCTACATGCCCAAATGCATTGAGCTGCTGCCATGTGGTTGGCTGATTAGATATTTGTGTTTACATGGAGATAAACAGGTGTACCCCATAAAGTGGCCAGTGAATGTATGTACATGTTTGGAATAAACTGCAGTACAGTCTGTTCTTTTCAACCCAACAAACAAGCAAGATCACTTTTTTAACCCCTTTTTATTAGGCCTTCGTGGATCTTGAGAATAATATGCCAGAAAACAGAAACAGGCTCAAAGCTATTGTGACTCATTAGTGCAGTTAGAGAAGCACATATCCTAGCTTGCCTGGTAGAGTGCTTCACCACCTAGCCCTGCGGGTGAGTCTCTCCAGAATTGATTTTTCTCAGAGATGAATTTTACTGTGCCTTTGCCTGGTGTAACATGCCTTTAGAAGTGTGTGTGTGTGTGTGTGCGCGCCCGCGCGTGTATGTGTGTGTGTGTGTGTGTGTGGCCTTGTGACTATGAAGTTACTTCTAGCAGCACAGTAAATATTATTTTCCTTATTTTCTGTCATTATGTCATTACTGCTTTTAATTTGACAGACATCTATCTATCATCTGTGATAATGTTCATGTATTTCCCATTATCAGATTAAAATAAACTTGGAGAACTTACAGTGAGCACATGCACATAAATCAGAAAACGCATACACACTCCCCAAAGTGGGCTCCATGGCCACATTTCCTCCGCGTCATGTAAACACTATTGTGTACCCGGTGATAGGGATCACTGGAACCTAATTGTTTGAGGCAATATTCGCAGTGCATTTCATGGAGAAAGTGACAAACAATGCTGTGAGCGCTGGTCGGGACAGACGCCTCTCTTCTCCTCCTGCTCCGCGACAGATGTCGACTGTGTTTATTTTTCCTGATTGTCCTGGAGACAGGCCATCCAGCCACAGGACACAGCAAGGAGGGTTTTAGTTTAGTTAGATATTCAGCACAAAGGAGGAGGATGGGGTTGCATTGCCAGCCTTGAACCTGATCTCTTCCCCCCACACAGCACAGTGTACACCTGATCATCTCCATCAGGACTCAACCTTAAGTATTGGAGGGATCAAGCTACAGGAAAAATAGGAAAGGATTTCAATTCTGTAAACATGAACAAACATTAGAAGATAACACCATTGTAGATGAAAAAGATCAAAAACAGGATAATTTTCTTCTGAAGAATAATGAAAAGGATATTTTTTTTGTGAGTCAAGAGGAAAAAACGGGAGTGCGTGCATCATTTCACATAATTACTGAGTAATCTCATAATTTCATAATGTCTTGTGATTTACTTCCTGAAAGTTTGTTCTCTATTACCAGCTTTCCTTTTTGCTGAGATCCACCAGTATATTTTAATTCTTACTCCCAAATCCTACACAGAACCTCTGTCTGCTATCTCCTTGTACAGGATTGGAAATTCAGCAACTAAACTCAGCACATGGGTACCTCTTAGGACCCAAAAGGTTCTTATCTTTATCACTGATTATGTCATTATTTTGCTTAGCAACAACCTACAAACAGGTTAAAATGACCTGTTGTGCTCCCATAGCACCTTGTAAATTGTATCATTTTAATTTCAGGACAGTAAAATAATATATTTTTTAAAGCCACAAAACTTAAATTATGCATGATATATCCTGATGTCATCATGTTGCCGAGCAACAGGCTAAAATCAAGGACCAAACAAAACAGCATGGACTTGTACTATTTGACAAAATAAGCAGGCAGATACATTATAACTAAATTAAATATAATGGCTTTTTAAATTAATTGCAAACATTTATTTTAT